TTCCTAGGACTCCTAGGATTCCTAGGTGGTCCTCATGGCAACATGGAGGAAAGATAGAGAATAGAAGCACCATTCCATGGGTAGAAGTCCAGAATAAAATTTTATTTGTAGTCAATAAGACAAGCCAACGCGTTTTGGGGGTTTGCAAGGGTCCCCTTTTTTAAGGGTAGGAGAAAACAGAAGATTGGATTCTGTATTGGGCTGAAATGTCAGAAAGGTGAATAATTAATATAGAGCTATTATTAAAACCTGTTCCAGCTCAAGTTCAGCAACCAGAACTCGAGCTGGAACAAATGTTGTTAATAGTCTTGCAGCCCATGAAACATGTTGACCTGACTTGTCTTATTGATTACAAATACAATTTCATTCTAGACTTCCCCAGTGGAGTTGCACTTCTAATCTCCACCCTTTCTTAATGGGTAGAGGTCAGTCTGGAATCGAGAGGTCCTAGGCAGAATCCATTTGCATTCAGACTGCCCTAGGTAATGCCCACATTGTTGCTGACCCTCCATAATGGAAATGCAAGGGGTGGGCCAAGGAGAGTCAAGTGAGGAGGAAAATGCTACGTGATACTGGATGTCCTCCAGCCAGGAAATGGGGTGGGTACTGTCTGACTTGCTGCAGCTTGAAATTCAAACTGTGAGAAGCTTGCACTGGGCAATTAAATCAGAGTAAGCAATTTCAGTACTCTGTAGAGAAGCCTGTCCAATTGTGCAAGACTGAAGGTAAGGCTGAAGATCAACTTTAAAAATCAAAAATATTTTTTTAACATATGTGGACTCCACTTTTAAATTGCATCACATAATCTTACTGTAATCCTAATTAGGTGTAATATACCAACACTGGTATATCCTGGGTGGAATAATGGATTTTTTTTGTGCTTGATAGCCTGTTATTTACAGAATAGGAATAGTTTAACAGAGTTTGATGATTTTTGAAAATTGCTTCACATACATATTTTGGGAAAAGTGTATGAATGCACCTATTGCCACTTGCAGATATGAAGATATTTTGGAATGTTCCAACTTAAGAGCCATATAACCGTCTAAGGCATTTTTTTCTGAATTTGTATTCAGAGATTTTGTTTACATCACGAAAGTAAGTACTGTGTAGTGATGCCCCATTTTATAAAGGAAGACACTTGGTCAGAATAGGTGCAGTTCAGAGGAAAATGGACTTTAAAGACCAATTCACTGCTAGATTTCTGACATTTTCTTCCTTCAATACTTTGTATTGGTATGAGTCCTTTTGTATAATAATTAGTAAACTAAAGTTGGTGATAAAGTAATGGGTGTGTAGTGGGGGCTTGTGGTTTAAGTATTAATACTTTAAATTCTGCATTAGCCTGTGTTCAAATAGTAATCCATTAAAAATGGGATTACCCTCTTTTATTGCTGCCACGCATAATAGGATAGAGGGGCTCAACCTAACGTAGCCCTCTTTTAAACAATAGTGGACATTGATCTCATTCTTTCTGCATCATTTGGTGGACCTGGGTCAAACCATTTCAATATTGTAGATGTCATATGAATCCATTGTATTTGATGTCTACTATTCAATACAAAATTTCAGTTGCAGGTAGTGTTGCAAGTTAAATCTTTAATTGTGTTCTGTGTATGGAATGATTTTAAACTTTTCCAGCAAAAAGTATGGAACATGGAAGCTATGATGTTTATTTACTAAAGGAGTAGAGCATGTCCACTTTCAAAGTGAATATTCACTTGTTTTAGTAAATGAGGTGAAACAAAGTGAACATTCACTTAGCAAAGAATACCCATTCGTGTGCAAGGGACATTTAAAAAAAAAAAAAACAACAGGATTTTTGTTTGCATTTAATGATTGAATGATTGAAGCCAGTACATCTTCACCTCATTCACTAAGCTAAATTAATTTTCCATTTGCAAAGGAAATGTTGTACTTAGATTAGAGAAGGAGTTGAAGTTGTGCTGGCTTCAATCATCCAATCATGTGCCATCACAAATCCTGTTTTTTACATTTTCCTTGCTCATGATTGGGTATTCCTTAAAGCAAATTTCCACTTTGTTTCTCCTCATTACTTTGTAAGGTGAAATCAGCTTTAAAAGTGAGTAGCCTCTATTCCTGCAGTAACAAGGGCCACTGCCTGATTTTGTTAAGGAAAGTAAAGAGTTTATGGGGGTGATTTACTAACCTAAACACACGCACGCACTAGGTACGTGTGATTCTTACACAGCAAAACTTATTTATCAACCAAAAAGTCTCTAAAAGCATATTTCCAGTAATGCCATATATGGAAAAATCATGCACACGATGCATATATAATGCTGCTTCACAGTTTAGACAAAAATGGTTAGCTCATGCATTTACATTCCTGCATTCATCAACGCAAGCAACACAACATAGAGCTAATTTACACAACATCACCTTGCAAATTCATGCAGGGCTTTGCACAACACACCTGCTGGGTGTGTACACACTACAAAGGTGTTTAGATTCCACCCATAGATCATGCTGGGAGGGAACACACTACAGAGGTGTATACATGTTCGTGGTGTGTTTATAAGGTTAGTAAATCAACCCCTATGTGTTTGAAAATGATGGCATATTGTTCGATCATCTTCACCATTATTCCTGGTTAATTGTACCTTGGTTATAGTTGGTGTATCTGTGGAACTCTGTTTTGTACATCTGCAGGAGTCAGCCTGTGGCTTAAACAAATTCTAGACATGCAAGGCATGCTGGCTTTTGTAGTTGAACAATGCCCAGGAAGCATAGGTTGTATAATGTTTATGTGAGGGTTGAAATAACAGGTCTAACAAAGATTTCCTTGGTGTCAGATGAAGAATTTACAGTTTTAGTCATGTAAAATGGATTATGCAGCTATACCTAACCATTCGTTAGCTTTGTCTTATAGCTAAGCATTACTGCATTAATCTTACCTGCTTTCAGCAATATCAGCAAATAAAAAACTGTGCCAGTCTGTGTGCATGTTTGTCAGCTGCTTGGATGTTAATTGTATTAGCTTCCATTCATAATGTTTGGTAAACCTGTGGCTGCCTTGCTGTGGTCCTCTTTGACTCATGCATAGTGATAGTGTGCACAATTTGCTCATACTAAGTTATATAGTCTATTGTGCAACACACGCTTTTATGTAAATAAAACTTCTGGAACTTAGCAGATTACTTTTTTTTTAATATTCACAATGTTTTCCGTATCATATATGGAGTTTTGGCATAAATAATGTACATCTAGTATAGAAATAAAAAATATGCCAACCCCAACTTAAAACAATGACATGGAAATACATACTAGTGGTTAACATACATAAAATGTTGTTACTTCCAATGCAAGTTACATTCTTAACTGCAAATATTGCTAAAGTAGTAAATATAATACTGTTCAATATTTAAAATGTGTTAAAATAACAACATTAAAATAAGAATTATCATTTGGAATAACAATCCAAGAATGAATGTTTATAATAAAAATGGTGCAATCATGTGTTCCTATGTTTAAGATTAATGTTATAACCCTTTTAAAAGGCACTTATAAATGATTAATTATTAATAATTATAAAGACAATGCATCTTCAAATATTATTATCCCAATATTCTTGTGATATCCCATTGTTTCACATAGGGGCTGCCTTACTTACTTTACCATGACTTCATTTACTTTGTTACTGAGAGATTGGAAGCTGAACTACCAACAGATAGAAAAAACACAAATAAATGCAGTTCTATATTCATTAATACATTACTATGTTTATTATTTGAATGCAAGCAGTGTAAGTACCTGAATCTGACCTGATATCAGTCTCCTGCACTCCTTGTACAGGAGAGCGCAAAGTGGAAAAGAAAAAGCACATGGAACATGCTGATACGAGGAGGAAGCAAAGTGACAGAGAGATGATCTCATTACTGTACTGTCTGTGAAGGTTCTCATTCATCCAGGTCATGGTATATCTGTAAAAAAATAAGTCAAGGCCTGTTGCCTTGAGTTATTTTTTTACAGATATCATTACTGTACTGCCTTACTTACTTCACTGTCCTTACTTCACTGTCCAGTCAGAGAGCTGAGAGTGGGACCATAATGGAATGGGCTCAGAGGAAGTGGTTTAAATTATATTAGCCATCATTGGCCTGGGAAGACTCAGGACATCTAGTAAATTAGTAAAAAAAAAAATAAGTAAAATTTCCAGTTCAGCTATGTTGGCTTAGATTGTTCACTTCTGCCTTCCCCAAACACTTCACCCTTTTGTGAATAGCCCTGTTAGTGTATTTGCGCTTTTTCAAAATATGTATTAACTTTCTAGCTGTTTGGAGCAGCGCTATACATAGGACATTACAGGCAGCTTCTAGTGTTAACAATAGATGGCAGTAAGCAAATGCGGGCCAAACTAAGGAGCATTTTATTTTAAATGCGTTAACATATATTGCCTTGAGATCTTTAACCCTTTGTTAGGATAAACAGTCCTGTTCATCTAGTTTACAAGTGATAATTACATCTGCCAGCACAATGCAGCTAGGGTTAACTATGGCAATCAAAACTAACCCTAGCCCCTTTAAACAGTGAGAACTAAGCAGGGTTTTTCAGCCCTGGAGTTTTCAGAAAATAGCAAGTTAGCTGATAAAAGTTATGATATGTGAATGGGAAGATGTAACAAATATGAGGTAGGTGTTCTCCAAATATGGCTGTGAATACAGTTGTAATGTACAAATGCATTTAGAGACATTAAATTAAAATTAACAAGACATACAGTAACTTTACCAAAATTACAATGGAGGGATACATTAAAAGCCAGATATATCCGTTAATTTTCTAAAATAAATAAAACAAATCATGACATTCCTGCTTTGGCTATTGCAGCAAAGAACATTTAACGCTACAGTTCAAAATTTGCATCTCACTTTTTTTTTTTTGCTTTCCTAACATTGTTAGCATAGTAAGCGCACACTTCTGAAGGTTGAAGGCTTTTTCTCCTGTATTTTTTCTTTCCCAAACCCTTTCTGTTTTTTAAGACTGAGAATGAGCAAGGGCGTAGAACCTCCCTAGAAAAGTTCACTCGCAGTGTGGTAAGTCTTGGAGGGGTCATCTTTTCATTTCTTGCACACTTAAGCTGTTAAATAAATTTAAAAAAGAAAATATGAGTACGTGTTGTTGCTTGCAATTGTGTGATTCTATATGTGATTACACTTTCATTTATATTGCCTTTTTTGTCAGAATGTTTTATGTTATCTCTGTTTACCTAAGTTTGCTTTTCTAGAAAACTACTAAATACTATTCAATAGTTAACACAAACATAATCTTAAAATATATGTATATATTCACATAAAACTTTATATATCGAATATTGGATTATGTGCACTTTAAGGAAAATAAAATTTTGTTATATCTGTATGAGATTATGATGGTTTTCTAAATCCATTTGTGAGAGGTATTTTGGTAGTGTGGATGCATATTTTGACAATGACACTATTGATATCTGAGGGAAATTAGTTTCTTACCTGACAAAAAAAAAAAGCCAAAGGGACAACTTTGCAAGCACAATAAAAGTCATTAATGTAATACATGAATCATTAGCAAGAGTGGCTGGTTATCTGGATTGGTGAAATACTTTTAATTGCTTCATCCACTATTTACTATTTTATTCATAGCCTTATATTAAGTGTCTATTACTAAGAAAAGACATCTCATTTAAAATATGTAATCTGTCTGATTTACTAAAGAATTTACGAATGCTCATACAATAACATGCGTGAAGTTTCACTTCCATTACCCAATCATGCGAACAGAAAATCCCTGTTTACTTATTTCAGCTGTACATGATTGAATCATTGAAGTAAATATTCTTACAATTTATTGTGTGAACATTTTCAAATCCTTTTGTAAATCAGCCTCTTTGTGTCATCAGCAGTAGATGTGGCCCTCTTCAAGAGACAATTATAAAACCAAAAAAAAAGGACTGTCAGCAACCAATTAGTGATTTAGAACAGGCTGGTTGGTGCTGTTAACCAACTGTCAGATGAATTTCCTTGAACGCAAATTAAATTAAAGCTGAGAAGCAGCCCTTCAGTAGGCATGTACCAGACACGTATCAGAATAACACAAAGGATGTTGATTGAAAGCATGGAGCAGACTTTGAATTTGGTACTTATATGAAGATAGATGGCTATACAGGTCAATTGATCTGCTGAAGATATGCATCTTGAAAGACCTAGAACCAGCACGTGGGGCACACAAAGATACAGTACTGTACAAGACTTTGACCAAGCACCGAAGGCCCTGCACAATTTTACTGTTCAGCTAGAGCTGATTGGTTTTCTTCAAGCTGTGTAATAACACTTTTTGTCTGAGCCACTTTGTTAAAAGCAACATTGTGAATTCTACAGTGTCAGAAGTCACATTTATATGGTAATATTTAAACAGGCCAGTATACCTTTTACCAAGATTTAAAAGCAATCATCTCGGCATGGAGGCACATATAAGGATTATAGTAAGCACCTGACCATGTCCTGTATTCACATGCATGGTTTCCAAACAGTGGTACTTGAAGACGAACGCCACCCAACCCAAGGGAAACTAAAGGTCACCAGCTACAAATACTGTAGCTACTAACTTTTAAAAACACATACCAGTCCATGAAGTCCAGCACTGTCTTGCAACTGATTCTTTGCAGGCTCTTCTGTTCTTCCATGCCACTATCTTATATTCAGAAGCCGGCTATCACTTCCTGATGACCCATAGCCAGCCCCCATTGTGCATGCACAAGAGTGCAGGTATACAAACCTCCTGGGATGTGTGACGTGTATCCCAGGAGACTACAGACAGCGGCAGCCTGAAGGTACATCACCTCACCTAGGCAATGAATGAGGAAGTGGGAGCAAGTACCTGCAGAAAAAGGTCCTAAAAACAAAATTCTTGTAAATGTGGGAGGGAGAACAGGGAGAAGGGAGGATTAGAATGAAGCCATGATTACATTTTAAATGAAAGTCCACTTTAAGTCTGGTTCCTTCTTTCCTAAGATACAGAATTTTTTCTTTAAAAATCATTTTCAAAATTCAATTCTTATGGTAAGAATATATTTTTATAGTGAACCAAACTAACTTGCGCTAATGGAAATAGTAAAACTAAATTAAGATGGATTAAAATTTAAAATTAATATTAATATGACCCCGGAGCTAAAATTTCTAAAACCAAAAAGGAAAAAAGCTGCTGAACTCAGGCTAAAAGCCCACAGAATAATGGTGTAACGAAGTGTACAGCGCTAAATGCCCTTCAGGAAATTAGATAACGGTAGGGATCAGATGATATCACCTCCGTGTCAAGCAATCGTGAAAAAGTGTATATATAATAAATATTTGTGTAAAAACTTATAGTACGTTATAAAATGTGTCAACAGGTGTCATAAAAAGCGTGTCATACATGAACCTTATTAAATAAATAAACAAAAATCTTCAAAGAACATGTGTCATATATGTGAAAAAAATATTAAATAAATAAATAAACATGTGTCATATATGTGAAAAATAAAAATATCACAATATAAAACAATCTGTGTTTTCTTTCGAAAATAAGTAGAAATATGCACTTATAATATAAAAAATGCACCCAAAGTTCTTAAAGCTCTCCGATCTTCAAAACAAAAAAGCCCAGAAGAATGAGAATACAAATCAAAATCAAAAGAAATGCCCAATATTGTGAAGTGTCCAACTAAAAAACGATAGAAGAAAAAAGCAGGCAGGTCCCCTATAGGGAATGCACTCACCAGATCCCTGATGGTCGAAAGCCTTTATTCTTATCCAATGGAGGCCTCCATTGGATAAGAATAAAGGCTTTCGACCATCAGGGATCTGGTGAGTGCATTCCCTATAGGGGACCTGCCTGCTTTTTTCTTCTATCGTTTTTTAGTTGGACACTTCACAATATTGGGCATTTCTTTTGATTTTGATTTGTATTCTCATTCTTCTGGGCTTTTTTGTTTTGAAGATCGGAGAGCTTTAAGAACTTTGGGTGCATTTTTTATATTCTAAGTGCATATTTCTACTTATTTTCGAACCTTTATTTAATAAGGTTCATGTATGACACGCTTTTTATGACACCTGTTGACACATTTTATAACGTACTATAAGTTTTTACACAAATATTTATTATATATACACTTTTTCACGATTGCTTGACACGGAGGTGACATCATCTGATCCCTACCGTTATCTAATTTCCTGAAGGGCATTTAGCGCTGTACACTTCGTTACACCAATATATTTTTATAACCTACCTTTATTTTTTTGTTCTTAATTTCCCTCAGAGAGGATTGACGCCAATATAAAAGTAGGAAAAACAGCAAATTCTTATTCTAGTCTTTATGAACAGTGTTTTTAGTGGTCCCTCCAACAAACACACACTCTCACACAAATAAAGTAACCCTCAGCAGAAACACACATATTCACAACCATACAGTGATCCCTTTGAATCATATTTTACCTGTAAAGTTGACACATTTAGATGCTTAAAGAAGAACTCCAGGCAAATAAAATCTTAACCCTTGCAGTGGGGCTAACCTGCACTGCAAGGGTTAGGTGCTCATTTTGTCTAGGTAGCTAAAATAACAGAGTTATAATCACCTGGCCAACCTCGCTCCCCCTCCGCTCCAGCGGTCTATGGTCCAGTGAGTCAGCACGCCCTATACAGTGTATTGGAGGGAGGAAACAGTTTGAGGGAGCCCGTTTGGGAGCCAGCTGGGATCATGGTTCAGGTGGGTATAACTCTGGTATTTTAGCTCCCTAGACAAATGGGCACTTGACCCTTGCAGTGTGGGGGTAGGCAGAAGCTGTCTCCCAGTTCTATTTCTTTACCATTAAATAAGTTCTCTTTTCTGTTGCCTTAACCTTATTTTTCTTTATATTTAGCTGAAGTCCCATCTTTTCACTTTGTTCTTGAACTTTCTTTATAAAACTCTTGAAGACCTTTACATTTTCAGCTAGTGTTGTAGTCATCAGCTTTTTAAAGATTGTTGATGCTTCTTTCATCAATCCTAAACCTCTGCCTCTAACCTTGCTTCTCCCATCCTATGTTCAGCATATACGTTAAATAAGTATGGTGAGTGTACTCCGCCTTGTTTAACAGCTTTGCCGATCTGGAACCAGTCTGTGGCTTCTTTTTCAATGCAGAGGTTCCTCATAAGAACAATGAGATGTTAAGGTATACCCATTGTGCTGAGAACATTCCATAATTTCACACAGATGACACAGTTGAAGACTGCTTTATCAGAGAAGGACATGTTGACTTTATTTGTGTACTCCCTGGCTTTTTCAGTATTCCAGCATGCATCTCCAAAAATGTATGTAGTTCCTCTGCCTTTTCTAAATCTGATCATTCTCTTGTTTATTTGTAAAGCAGTTTTATCAATTAACAAAAATAAGAGAACCCACAGCGGAGGAACACGCAGGTTGCAGAAGATAACAAAAGTGTGAAATAAAACATGACAGCAAAGTACAATGTACACACATACACACCACACACAACCAACCATCCCACTCCATAACTTACAATCAGCCCAGTAGCATAAGGGAACGGATAAGAAACAGAACAAGTAACAAATTCAACCATTGAAGGCCAAAGATCCCAGCCATGGACCCCAGATCTTATGGAATTTTTTTTCGGGCAAGCTCTAGTTTCATAAATCAATTTATATTTGGGAATCACGCCTTCCACTATATTAACAAAGGCGTGAAGTGGAGGAAGACGAGGCTTTTCCAATACAGTGATATGGCTTCACATGCATACAAACACCAAGGCTGAAGCAGAGAGCGTAACGCAGAGCATTCAATAAGCGGCTCCACAATACCTAGTAGCAGGATAGAGGGAAATAAGGGAAATGTGGTGCCCAATTTAGCCCTGATAATTCTCTTTAGTGGTTTTCCAAACTTGTTGGTATAAGTTTGTTAGGACTTTGATTTTTCTCCAGTTGCTTGCAATGATTCGAATTCAATGTCATCGATTCCTGTGGCCTTCCTTAGTGCCAGTTTGACTTAATCTTTGTTTACTAAAGGCTCTTCCGTGTAGCTGGTCTTGAGAAAAGTGTTTTGGTTATTGATGTCTTTTTTATAAAGGTTTTCTATTCCTTCCATCTTCAGTTGATCTCAGTTTCATTAGTATTGATTTCTTTAAACATACATACTGAAGGCTGATATTTATTTTTTATTTCACGGATATTCTAGATAACAAGTGATCCTTATTTTCTCACATCTTTATTGTCTTTACAAATTATGTTGTAACATTGGTCCTTATCCTTCCTGCCATCCCTCTGGAATTCACGTTCAGTCCTTTTACAAGATTTTATCTTTCTTGATTTTAGCTTCTATTCTTGTTTGTGCAATTTTCACTGTATCTTCTGTCACCTATTTGATTTCTTTGTCTTTATTTGTGTTTTTTCTCTAATTTCTCTGATTCTCTATGAATTATTTCTAACATCTGAAATCTGTTCTTTCTATCTTCTTATCTTATCTTAATAAAAGACAAAATTCTTGATATCTGTACTCTTGGAGCCTCTGCGATCCTCCAACAATGTCAGATTACTATACCATTAGGGGCTGCTCCTCACTGGGATTGGGGATGCCCATCACACATAAAAGCAAAAAACACAACACAGAGCACCACCTCTAAGTGTAATACTATTTATTCAATGTAATTTAAAAGTGATCAATGTACTCACAAAAAGTATGATACACAGTGCTTAAAATGTTCCCCTATGACTGCAGTAAATTTGCCTAAGAACGAAGCTGTGAGTGTTTGTCACATTGACATGCATACATTGATTAGCAAACACTTGCAGCTCTGGCTGGAGCTGTATGCCTTGCACTGACAGGGAGCTGTGCTTTCCTTGATAAGTTCCTGTCTTGATCAATCGTTATTTGCCATATTATGGAAACAGCTTAATCATGATTGGCTGGTTTTCCATCTTAATGTCCACTCAAACACTGTGCTAGCTGTGGCTCCGAAGAGGGAGGCATGGCCCCGGAAACGCGCCAGCCCATTAAACTGCCCCGATGCTGGCGACGTACACTGTACGTCGTCAGTCACGAAGGGGTTAAATTACATTGAATAAATAGTATTACACTTAGAGGTTGCGCTCTGTGTTTTGTTTTTTGCTTATCTTATCTTACTTTAAAGATAGTAGGTATGTTGTCCAGCATGTATCTTAAAAGACTAATAGTTTTCTTGTTCTTTTTCATTTTTTTTATTTGTAAAACTACTCCATCAAACAAAAAGTGTTTTTTGGGGGCCAGGGGTGGGGCTGTCTGTTTTACTGTTGGACAAATTTCACTTCCTTTTCAGACTTTTTATCCAGGTGGTAACTATCAATAGGACAGTAAGTAAGGGAACATTCTTCCAATGGGGACATAGTCAGACATAGGTTCTAATTCTTCCCCACTCTTTCCAGAATATAAGCAAAGATTGTGCACAGAGATGGGCTTTAAAGATTTTCTACTGTACTTACAAGTGAATGGACTTTGGCAACTTTTTTTTTGTATGTTGGGGCATATATCTACTGTTTACTAACAGATATATGCCAAAAAAATTTTGTTAGAATAAAATGCAAACACCAACAAACTCACCTGTGTCAGCGCCACTTGCTCCCGGCAGCAGAAGTCCCGCCTCCCGAATGCTGTGAAGAAGGAAGTGATGGCGGGCGCATGCGCAGTCCACATCATCAGAGGGGAGAGGAGGAGAGCAGTGGCGTCAAAAGGGGGGTGCGGCGGGTGCGACCCGCACCCGGGTGACACCATTGGAGGGGGTGACACTAAAATGACTGACAGTCATTTTGGTGTCATCCTCTCTAAAAAGTCTGGCACTCGGTCATGGACAAACTCTTTTTGGTCTATTGACCTTTTAAAAATTTGCTCCAAATATGTTATACTACACTTTCATCCAGTCTCTAAATGATTGTTATTAAAAAGAAAACAGTTGAAAGGAAAAAGTAATGGTTTAACCATTCTTTTTTTTTACTTATTAATTCTCCCTGGACTGTGGAACAGAAAAGCCAGTGCATGAGTAAAAAAAAGGATCTAGTCCACAATCAAACCCATTTGTGAATGCAAGAACTGTATGTGTTCTTTACATCCCCAGTCAGGATGAAATGGTTCACACTATGGAGATAGCAATTATGCTATTCGCCCCAACTCCACTTTTGATCCATTTAGTTATTTTGTTAAGCCCTAAGAATGCAAATGATTTAAATGAAAAAAATACTGAAAAGTTAAATACCTACAATTTCAGTAATTCCAGTGTAGTTTATAAACATTCCAACCAGCAGTTTACATTGCCTAGTTATAGTGGACTCTCTTTGTACATAATTGGTGGTAAAGTGAAATTGTAATGGTTTGGGGTCTATTTATACATTTTAAACTGAATATATATATATATATATATAGATCTATATTATATATATATATTAAAATATTAGAAATCAACATTTATTTCTAATAAAAATTTCCCAAAGCATTTTTTGTAGTGAAACATGCATAGCAGTAGTTATCTCTTTTCAGCCACTGCTGTTTCTCGTTGACAGCTGGCAAGCTGGCAGTGTGGAGGATAAGTCACTGTTCTGGGGATTCACTTCTATGTGCAAATCTCAGCATTAGCTACTAAGCTCTGTAAACAACAGGATTTCTACAGTAAAGGAGATAGAAGAAATATTTAAATGAGCCTAAAGTTCCACCTGCAAACTCAAAAGGATAATAGAAAATGTAAAAATGTAAGGATTTATATTTTCTTGGCAAAAAAAGAAGAAAATTCTAAAAATTATCTTTGTTTAGTATTTTTCTTAAAAAACAATGAATATATGTACAAAACAACTACATTCCCTTTAAGAACAGGTTCTCTTTAGCATATTAAGGTAAAAATGCCACTATACAGTATACTATGTTGTTATCGCAATTATAGTCCAAGTCTGTGTACATGAAAAAAATAGTGGGACTCCTAATGGGGTCTCCATTGTGATTGCTTGTAACTTTGTCTGTGTTTGTTTACACTAGGTAACATCTGATTTATTCCTAACTGGCAAGTGTTAATTTCAGCTCAAATGTGCTCTGGGAATAGAATCATTGTGTGATATTGTATGGGTGAAGGGACAGAGGAGTGTGCTACTACTGGGTAGAAATCAGGACAAGTTAGTAGTATTTGGGGATAGTTTAGACCAGTGGTTCTCAACCTGTGTCACCTTAGGACCCACATTTGTCCTTGGTTATTAAGTCGCGACCCAAGTCGCACTGCAATGGACCGCAAGGCATTAGGGTACCGCTCGTTCCGGTGCGGGCATACAAACTGTGGGTGGAAGGTGCATTTGAGGTACCATTCAAATGAATGGCGGTAGGAGCAATCGCGTGGTACAGTGCGTTCATCGCACAGCACTATGCAATTAACGAACTGTACTTGTGTGAATGGGCCCTCAAAAACACTGACATACATACACAATCTCACACACTCACAGATGGTCTCACACACACATACATACAACTATTTTCTTATTTTTTTTAAGGTCCACCCATTCTCCCTACCTTACGAGAATTGGAGTGGATCCTCAACCTGGGGTCCAATTACGGGCCGCTGTGTTGTGACGGAGCTCCATCTATATGTGCATTGTTTGCACAGCTCCTATGCGCAGGCTGTAGAGGTGCCAGGAGCCAGAATGTGATGTCACTCAGGTCCAGGCACCTTTATAGAGCACGTGAGGAAGCTGTAAGCAATGCACGTATGGATGGGGCTCCCTCGTGGCTATATCTCCATCCCACCTTAAGCTGACACTTGGCACCGGGCAGTATATTTTGAATAGTTGCTGGGCACAAGAACTGACAGTGCTGCTTTAGGGGGAGGAAGAGGAGCCTTTCACCTAGAAAAGTGGAAGGCATGCGACGACCCACTGAACACGGGGTCCGACGCACTTTTTGGGTCACAACCCTCCAGTTGAGAACCAAGGGTTTAGACGCTCATGTAGGAAGGGTAGGTGAATGCCGGTAAGGTAACTATGAGGAAATGTAATAAGCTACTCTTACTTTCTGTCAGACATTGACAAATACTGTGGAAAGTAGCACAGGATACTACATACAGAATTAATGTATATGTGTACAATTATACAAGTTTTATGTATGATGCTGTATTTCTTGACAAAATGCTTGTCTACTAAACTTTCTAAAGATTGCTAATTGCTGTGTTACTAGTGTTTTTGGTCTTCTTCATCTACAATGATTATCGAAGTTCATCAAGTGTATCATCTTCCTGGTCTACATTCCATTATTTCTAGTATTTGAGTACAAACAGATTGCTGTTTTGTCACCTGTAGAGTAAGAAGTATGACCTTTATTGCAAAAAATATCTTGGTTTGCATCAGGTAACTTTATTAAATGCAGCAAAAAAGTGCAAACTATAGTAACCCATAGCAACCAATTAACAATTATGTTGTTGTTGTTGTAGAAAATATGGTTGTAATGGATTCTGCACATTATCTTTATTTTTATAGTACCTTCTTTAAGGTACTATATATGTTCATCATTTTTTATTTTTGCCTTTTAATACAAATATCCAACAAGAACTTACAATTTCTTTTTTTCCTGTTTGTGTTCCACAGGGGAAGTCATTGACGTCTAAACGCCTCACCGGCCTCATGCAATCCTCCTGACAACCCAAGACAGAGGCGCTGGCACTAGGCACCTAACCCTCCAGGAAATGGTTTAGGCATGAAAATGGGTCACTGTGAAAGCAAAGAAACATATGAAGAAATGGGAATTTTCCATTCTAATTCAGATGTTGTTTGTCCCTCAGTTACATCAACAAATTCTGCTTGAGCAGCTTTCCAATGACCCTGAGTTGCCAAGTTTTTTTCTTTTTCATTTGTGTGTTTAGTTTGAGATTTGGTTTCCCCTCAACACAGTAAGAGGAGGGTCGGCAACAGATGAAATTTTAGACTAAATCAGCAATAAATGGAGACATGTCTGAGGTCGATGTGAAAATTTCCATCTCTGTTCTCCACAGCATCTCAGCTGCAGTGGATATTTTCACCACCAAGAAAACTACCTTTGCATCAGTTTAAAGAAAACACAAGAAACTGATTATTCTTAAAACATGAATGAGTCTGTTTCTCCTTTGTCCTGGACTGCGGGCATCTGACTTATTTTATGTGTGTGTCCCTGTCGAAGAGACTATTGAAAACATTTGCTCTGCATAGTCTTATCCTTCCAAGCGCATGATGCTGCTCCAAAGATAGCATTACCAGTCAAGGTTAAACACAAGGTTGTTGGAGAAAAAAAATGATAGCAAGTCATGTTGATTTCTCTTGAATTTTTTTATTTTTTCCTTTTTGCCACTGCATGCATTTCAAGTAAAATCTGCACATTCATTCACAGTATACGTCATTTTCTCTTCCCCGTAGCTCATCTGCGGTGATCAGACACAGGCTAGTATGCTTGTGACTGGGGTGGGGAGGGGTCTGAAGAAGACTCATACTTTATAAAGAATCATTCCAACTTTGTATCTCACAGTACAGCAAATAATAAGCTGAGATATATTCATGATAACAAAAAAAAAATTAGTAATCACTTTAGTTATATATTAGTAGAAGTTGAAGACATTTCGCAGAGTAGTTGGATATTACAGAACATACTAAGTATAATTGTAGAGAAAAGAAGATACAACTAGACATGATCAATTTGTCACCTGTAGAAAGAAACAGCTAAAGGCCTTTTTTTTTGAAAGATTGCATTGTCATCGTTAAATGCTGATGGTATTTTTGGACTGCTGTAGCATTCTAGGTTCCTTAAAAAAAAAAAATTACAGTAGTAAAATACTATCTAAAAGCAAAATATCTGGGAGTTAATACACATGTAGTGTTCTTGTGATTATTGTTGTGACTGATTTAGTTTCCTGTTTTCAAGTCAAGAACAGGTTTATGCAAAAAAAAAAAGGGAAAAAGTAGTTGTGTTCCAGTGTGCAATACACTGTGCCACCAAGTTTGCTGTTTGTGCTTCGGACATCAGAGATATTGAAAGCCTTCAAGGGAGCATCCATTTATTTGGAAAAGAATTGCCATTGGATTAGTGGATTAACTTGGGTGTGCAAAGTCATCATGACACAGATGCCCTTATTTGGACCCTATGAGGTCCTTATTTTTACATGGACATGGACATCTTTCTGATGATGGTGTAGTACATGACCTTATGGGCACAAAAAGACATTGTAAAGTCCAAATTACACTATCTGTTTAAGGAAAAAATTCCCCTTCTAGCACACGTTAAGAGGGAAGGTAAACCTATGTTGAAGGGTGCAAAGCTCACTGGTTCAGATTTGCCTGACCACTAGTGGGGTGAATTAATAATGTTGCACTCCATGTCCTCCTATCCATCCAATAATACAATATTACATATTAGCCCATTTGCTGGAGGATAATTAGGGACCCATACCTTGGAAGAAAGGGAGTACTGGTGGGAAAGGTAGCCTCAGCATACCCTGCAATAAGTAAGGTAAACAGTATCAGTAATGAATTGTGAATATCTGATTTACTGTGAACTCACCAAATTCACTAGAAAAAAAAGCATTCAATTAAACGGTTTCACTCACTACTAGTTCTGAGTTTTGGGGCAAAATGGGGAGGTTGGTCAGCATAGTCTCCTTGCCAGCTATATTTCACCTTGAGGACAGTTTCATACAGTGTGGTAACGCACGCTATGAGTGTTGGTGCACCGCAGTGTCATTCATTCTGAATGGCACCCCAACAATGCATGGTAGCACTTTATTGTGCCTTGTGATGTGCAATGCAGCACATCACAAGGCACAATAAAGTGCTACCATGCATTGTGATGCACTGTGTTTTTTAAAATAGTGCATGCACCTTTTTGGTGCATTTTAGTGTGTTTGGATGCCCATTCAAATGACTAGGCTACATTATTGCAATGCCTGTTAACACAACACAGAGATGTAAATCTTTGTGTTGTAGAAACAGCTTTAACAGCCTGCTTGTGCTGAAATATTGATGCTGTTGCAAACCCAGTTACATTATAATCAATCAAATGATCAGAATTGGGATCTGCAAAACCTCAGCAGACATTTCTCAGGGAAAATGGTTATTAGGATGTTGATAATTTTCTTAAAGGAGAAGTATTGGGAGAGTAAAATGTAGGGATGTCCCGATACCGATGCTAGCATCGGAATCGGGCCCGATACAGGGCATTTTGACAAGTACAAGTACTTGTCAAAATGCCCTGTATCGGGCCCGATTCCGATGCTAGCATCGGAATCGGGCCCGATACAGGGCATTTTGACAAGTACAAGTACTTGTCAAAATGCCCTGTATCGGGCCCGATTCCGATGCTAGCATCGGAATCGGGCCCGATACAGGGCATTTTGACAAGTACAAGTACTTGTCAAAATGCCCTGTATCGGGCCCGATTCCGATGCTAGCATCGGAATCGGGCCCGATACAGGGCATTTTGACAAGTACAAGTACTTGTCAAAATGCCCTGTATCGGGCCCGATTCCGATGCTAGCATCGGAATCGGGCCCGATACAGGGCATTTTGACAAGTACAAGTACTTGTCAAAATGCCCTGTATCGGGCCCGATTCCGATGCTAGCATCGGAATCGGGCCCGATACAGGGCATTTTGACAAGTACAAGTACTTGTCAAAATGCCCTGTATCGGGCCCGATTCCGATGCTAGCATCGGAATCGGGCCCGATACAGGGCATTTTGACAAGTACAAGTACTTGTCAAAATGCCCTGTATCGGGCCCGATTCCGATGCTAGCATCGGAATCGGGCCCGATACAGGGCATTTTGACAAGTACAAGTACTTGTCAAAATGCCCTGTATCGGGCCCGATTCCGATGCTAGCATCGGAATCGGGCCCGATACAGGGCATTTTGACAAGTACAAGTACTTGTCAAAATGCCCTGTATCGGGCCCGATTCCGATGCTAGCATCGGAATCGGGCCCGATACAGGGCATTTTGACAAGTACAAGTACTTGTCAAAATGCCCTGTATCGGGCCCGATTCCGATGCTAGCATCGGAATCGGGCCCGATACAGGGCATTTTGACAAGTACAAGTACTTGTCAAAATGCCCTGTATCGGGCCCGATTCCGATGCTAGCATCGGAATCGGGCCCGATACAGGGCATTTTGACAAGTACAAGTACTTGTCAAAATGCCCTGTATCGGGCCCGATTCCGATGCTAGCATCGGAATCGGGCCCGATACAGGGCATTTTGACAAGTACAAGTACTTGTCAAAATGCCCTGTATCGGGCCCGATTCCGATGCTAGCATCGGAATCGGGCCCGATACAGGGCATTTTGACAAGTACAAGTACTTGTCAAAATGCCCTGTATCGGGCCCGATTCCGATGCTAGCATCGGAATCGGGCCCGATACAGGGCATTTTGACAAGTACAAGTACTTGTCAAAATGCCCTGTATCGGGCCCGATTCCGATGCTAGCATCGGTATCGGGACATCCCTACTTCCAATACTTAGAGCCGGCATGTGACACGGCAGGTATCACATGCCAGGTCCATAGATCGAGAACTGAGTGATCACGAACCACTGATCGTTCAGTTCACAGTCTTCTGATTGCCAGTCACCGCTCCCCGCAGAGATTCCCCCCTCCCCTCTCTGTTAGCCCTCCCTCCAGCGCTCATTGGAGGGACAGACAGGGGAGGGGGAGGGACACAGCTGGCTCTGGCTCTAGAATGCCGGGTCTTTTCCGGCTGCAGTGTAGCTCTGCATTGTCAGCAAATAGCGGACAGTAGGCTGCTAGATGCTGACTTTGGGTCACAGGAGTACATTAGTAAATGTACTCCTGTGACCCAAAAGAGAACTAAAGCCAGAAAAAAGTTTGGCTTTAGTTCTCTTTTAATATTATAGTAAAGCAAGGAGTGATTTGCTGTCTACATAGGGAGGCAGGCATATAAGCAGGGGTGTAGTTATGCATCATGCTGCCCAGGACAAACTTAAATGAAGAAGACAAAGATGTTTAATGTTTCCAGAACTATAAAAAAAATAATTTCTGTCTCTTCGCCATATCCTCTGCATACCCATCACCCTACCCTCTTGATGAATTTAGTCACAAACATCCAGTGGTGGTTAGAAGAGGAAAGCAAAATAAGAAAAAAGTTATCACACAATTTAGCGCTGACCTTTACTAACTTTGCTGCTCTAGGCACTGGACCGTGAGTGCCTCATGGAAAACACAGTCCTGTGTATAGGATACAAGCATGTCTATCTGTTTGTTTGACTAAAGAGAGAATGTTCAGTGGTGGAATCTTTCATCTCTGTTCTGTTGAGCAAACACACAACAAATCAAGCAAGCCATTGAAAAGTTGAAATAATTCCATGTGAAAACGGAAACTGTTCACACAGTTGCATGGAAAGCATCAACACATGTGAATTGTCTGTAAGACACAGAACATTAAGTAAAGATAGATGCAGATTCCATTATGATTTGGCACTATGCTCACTTGATCAAATATCCTCTTTGCCTGAAAAGTGAATGGCCCTTGTGGTCTTCACAGAGAACAGTTATATTGTTTCAAGCCTCTATTTTACTTAAAATATATTTGTTTATATGAACGAAGGTAAAGAAGTAAAACATGACAGGAATAAATCAGAAAACATTTTATCGATTATCGGAATTATGGTATCTATGCAGCGATAGGTTTACAACGAAAGTAAAAAGATATCAAGCTCAAAATAAAAAATAAAATAAAAAAATTAATACATTGTATGTCATAAAAAAAGTGTTGCTTTTGCAGTAATACGACATTGCGGTATGACAGTGAGCTATGTCAGTGTATAAAGCAAAGTAATCAGTTATCTTCATCCATTATTTTTGGAACAATACATTATACACCTATGTATATCTGACTAAGCTAAGCGGTGGTAAACATTAATAACGATTAGTTGTATCAATAGTTAGAATAAACCTGTGCTGAGAAAAAGGTTTGAGTTGCAGTTGCTGACCTCTTCCCTGAAAATTCCTTCACTTGTCGCATACTTGTTCCTGGTGCATGAATGTATAGAAGACATAGTCGGCAAGTGGTAGCTTACATATACATATATATTCCTGCAAATATTG